TACACCCCCAGGGGTCCTTCACTGTTGACTTTGCCATGTTGTATTCAGCTGCCAAATCAGACATGCAGTGCTCTGATTCAAATTTCACAATCATTTCTTTCTTTAACTCTATCGTGGTTCTCACAGTTTTCCTGCGGGTGTCACTAACTTTCTTTGGAGTCCTGGTTACAATAGTTTACACAAAGCACACACACACCCACACATACATACACAAAGCACGATGACAAATGCTTTAACACACTAACACAAGCACAACATGTTGACTGAGCGAGAACAGCGCTTAGAATTCATGATGGGAATGGTTTTTCAAGTCGGAGTTTTGGTTCAACTATTCAGCAAAGTTAAGAGCACCAAGCAGAATTTTTTCTGAATTTGTTGTTGCTGTAATGGAAAGTTCTTGAGCATGGAGCTTTTCAACAACCGAGGTGTCACTGTATTTCTGTTATCACTCACAGGATAGCATATTAGTGAGAGGTTTTAGGCTTGTCTCTCTCTTCTCATAGATGCAACTTTCCCAAAGGCTTTAATCATGCTTTATCTTGTTAAATAAAAGCATTCTATTGAGGCCTTAAAAGGATAAATATGCATCAGGGCCTGATGGTGGAAAGGGCAATATCCTTAGACATGAAAAAAGTCATACAGCATGATGTGCAGTTTCAAAATTCATGTCCTGTTTCGGACTAAATTGTTTGCTATAGCTTGAGTGTAGCTTACTCAGAAAAGTGACAGTAGTGAAACTGGGGACAGAGGTTAGCCAGTGTGTAAAGGCCATGAGGGCCGTGAGAAGATTGGTTTTTCTCATTGTAGGCAGTCAGGAGCCAATGGGCACTTTTAAACGCGAGAATGTCCAGTGTTTATTATCTTCCTGCTGGCTGCGGGGACTGCCGTGGAGGGCCAGAGCAACCAGTAGGCACTTGCAGAGTTCCAGGATGGAGTCTCACTAGGGCAGAGGAACCGGGAGAAGGACTCTTGTTTGAAATATGTTCCAGGAGGTGGGGGAATTCTTAAGCTTGTAGCATCAACATTTTGGAAATTCTATACTATTAGAGGAATTATATCAGTATAATAATAAACTATATATTTTTAAATTTTTTGATGTGCCACATACCTTTCTAAACTCATGTGTACTCTTCATTCACATAACAACCCTATGAAATAGATGCTAGTAATGCCCTCAGTTTACATATAAGAAGCTGTGGTGCAGAATTCTACCTTCCTTACTTCAATACATAAGTCAATGAGCAAGTATGTAAGTGGCATAGCCATTACTAGCAGCATGGCTCCGGAGCCTGCCTGTTTGACCACTACCCTGATACAGTTAAGGGACCAGGAGGACAGAGGTCATGCACTGAAACAAAAACCAAACTGTCTGTAGAGAGTGGAAGGGCAAGACCATAGAATCTGAACAGGTGTAAGAAGAGATTGGTAACAAGAAACTTTGATATTGAGACAAACTTCACTCACAGTCAAGAAAGTTCCATCACTAAGGGGTATTTTTGTGATAGGCTTTCTAAAACACTCCTTCTAATATTCATGGCCGCAGCTTGCTGGGTTTCTCCCTCTTTCCCCTCTCCTCCCTCCTTTCTTTCTACTTTTTCTTCTAAATGGCTGATTTCTAAAGACACAGCCCTTCTTTCACTCAATCGTTTAAGTAGGACCAGGTTTTGCTCTTCCTCTTGGAGTGACTTTCGGCCAGTTATTTACTACTGGTTGCCTCCGTTTCCTTAACTCTGAGATGGGAATGATGATGGTGTAGTGCAGGATTGCTGTTCACATTGAGTTCTCCCCTCTGTAAAGCACTTAGTACTTGTCACACCACAGGGGGTTTCTGCTTGCCATCAAGTGCATTCCAGCTCAGAGCCTCCCCTGTGCCCATGGAGTGTTCTTGGTTTTACTCTTTACTGAAGCACATTGCCCACAAAGCTGCTTGGCGGGTTCAAACTGTCGACCTTTTAGCCTGCAGCCAAGTGCTTAATTATCTTTCGTACCACAGGGCTCCTTGCCCACTACAATAGATGGTACCAAATCCAAGCCTGTTGCTGTCAAATCAATTTCAGCTCACAGTGACCTTGTGGGATGGAGTGGAACTGCCCTGTAGGGTTTCCAACACTGTCATCTTTACAGAAACGGGCTGCCATCTCTCTCTCTCCTGTGGGGTGGCTGGTACATTCGAACTGCTGACTGACCTTCTGATTGGCAGCTGAGCGCCTACCTGCTGTGCCACCAGGACTCTTTAACTTTGAGGGGGATGCTGTTTTGTCTTTGCCAAATGAATCCTCTCACCAGTTCGATGTACAAACTGGCCTTTCTCGAGAAGAGACATACCCTGGAAGGGGCCTGATGGCAATTCTCTCCCACAGATGGGACCAGGCTTGGAGGTGCTGCTTCTATTATACCATTGTGCCTTTCTGGAAAACTGCCGACTCTGTTGATTCAGGATGTTGTCTGTTTTGCTTATTTCATAACCTAACCATTTAATTCTGTGTTTGTGTTACATTCAGGATTAATGATACTGGTTTTCATATCTATTTTCTGTGTTGAGTTATTCCGTAACACCTCACCATTTCCAAAATTGCATTTATGACCTTTTCCAAAGCCA